CATCCTTTCAGTAAAATCTGTATCTCATCCGGTTTCAAAAATACACTCAAGCACTTGCATTTTTAAATACTGTACCGTAGAGTATTGCTACTAATTCCTTTCACTCCCAAACCTGTTCAGTTATTTTGAAACACTTCCTTCTCTTACACAAAATGGGTCACCAGATTCGAATGCAAAGGAAGAAAAAACATTACTCCCTAAGTCGGGGTTCTTTGGCAAAGCCCACAACTTACCTCATTTCCTACAACTTTTACTTTCTAGTTTGAATATTGTATACACTAAAAAGTTGTTACAGAGTAAAATAACTTTTTAAGCCTTAAGCCTAAAAAGTTTTACAGAGTAGAATCACTCCCCCAGTGGGCATACCCAGAATTCATGAGGAAATCTGCTTTCAAGTTGTTCTGATGGCCCTGAACCAGATGCTCTAAGGTGGCCAGAAACCTTTGTCTACACCCACTTAGCAGATTTCTGGCTCTTTATCAGGGACTAAGAGGTTTATTTGCAGAAATGAATCATTTCCTTCAAAATATCCCTTCCCCTATTTACATGCTTGCATATTCCTTCCATTTTGTTTTCCCCCTACAGCTTTACTAAGGGAATTAATTATCTGGAAGAACAGGAACATACAGTAAGTACATCTGAGATACAGGATGAGACACAGTATGTCATCTATTAGGCCTGGCTAAGACCAGCAGCTGATGCTAAATGGGAAGGAACATGCACCAAATGTTTTTTAATCACAAAGTTAGTAATTAATTGCTCTTTAAAATACATTTTATGCTTCTTTCTGTCTGTGTACATGAAATGCACATTTATTACATGCCAAAAATTACAACATTATGGTTTAAATGTGACTGGCACGGAAGTCCGGAAATCAGAGTTAATGTTCCCACAGCAACTTTAATTCTGTCCGTGTGCACATGTAGAGCTATAATAGTCTTCCATTCCAGGATAATACATATAGATGGTTTTGGGAGGGAAGCTAAAGACCCATATCCTCAACTGTAGTTACAGGAAAGAAACAAAGGATAAAAGCCGTGCTCCTTTCCACATACGTGGGTAAAAACAATGTCCCCATGCCCGGTGTTGTGTAATCAGGGAATGAAAGAATCTGCTGTGATGCCGGCACTCAAGGGGACAGTTTCTGTTGCTGTGAGAACTGAACTTTGCATTTCCTGACTTTGGGGTAATTAAAATGTCAGCCTTAATGTGGCATTAATGGAGTTTGCCATAAAAATCCTCTTTGTTTTGTTCTTTAAAAAAATGCTTAAAAGTTCAAAATGAGCCAAGTGTACTAAAAATGTTAATCACAGGGACTTGGACGGGCGAAGCAAACGGTTGGGAGGGGGAAGGCCGAGGAAGGTGGATGACAAGAGGTAGAAGAGGAAGAGCCCGCCAGGCTCTTCGACAGCGTTCAGCCCCAGCAGAGTCATGCTACCTTCAGAGCTAAAGTTAAACCCACCCACACAACAGTTTGGTAATGTGTAAAGGTTAAATTAAAAATAAATAAAAACTGTTAATGCGTAAGTGCATCTTGGCAAGGACACAACAAATGAGACAGTCCGATGAGGCCAGTGCAAAACACGGGAAGGTAAGTAACCACGGATATCAGCTTCTAACAAAAGAAAAGACATCAGAACAGGTGGATCTACAACCAGAGGTAGGGAGGACCACCAAAGGGAGGAGAATCACTTCTCCCTTCAATGGGAGACTTATCTGGGGGAAAAGAAAATGGAAGAAATATGCAAGCAAAAGTTCTGGTAGCGTCTATCACATGTATGTGACTGTGATGTGGTACAGCTTGATAGCTGTCAAGAAAGGTTTTTCATATGGAGAGCTTCGTCTGCTCTACTGACTTGGTTTAGTCCCATTTCAGCATTTAAAGGGAGAGCTTGGCTCAGCTCGTACTCAGACTGTTCAGTGGGTAACTGCTCTGTCAAACACCTAAGGATTTTCTACCCTTTGCATCCCCAAACTCATCTTAATGCCTTCCATTATCATCATCTGAATTTGTTTACCACTAGATTTTTGGAAATGGTGAAGGGGTGACAGCTAGGAGGTAATGGGGAAATATTGCTAAAAGGAAGCTGCGCTAGTGGGTGCATCGAAAAGCAGCACACATTTCGGCAGCAGCATTAACCTCGTCATCTCACAAAGAGAAGCATCTCTCTACTATATTCCTTCTTGTTTTGAATACCACTGGGATATTTTGCCAAATTTGAAGTGGCTCGCCAGGTTCATAGCCAACAGAGAATTTAAGGGGTCAGACCTGTCATCTTTGCTCTAAAGCATAACCTGTGTCCTCCATATGCAAAGACACAGTGGCTCGCCCACCCCTACCAGTTCATAGGCAGAGCTGACTTTTCTTTTGTGAGGGTGTTTTAACAGTCATGTTTTATAACCCAGTCACCAATATGAGTAGTAGCACATTTTCAATGTGCCTGTTTGAAGCCAGGAATGCCATTTTTGGGGTTGGAGCAGAGAATTCCCATGAGAAATGCTCTCACAATAAGAACAAAATCCATAAACAACCCTCAGTACCAAATGAGTTTACCACGAGCAAGTCATTCATCTATTTGTGTATCAATTTTCTCAGTTTTCTCATCTGTAAATTGGGAATAATCATACTGACTGACAGGAAATAGGCATTAAGGCATGACTAAGAATAATTTTGCTAAACACACGACAAATAAAAAGGTGCTATAAAAATTCAGGCACTTGTGAAAGCTTGGAACACCACATACTGGTGGAATGTTTTTGAAGTTAAAGAGACTAACAAGTCAAGGGCACTATTTTTAAATGCCCCAAATCTGTTAGTTCTAAATAGGAACTGAATATTTTACCTTAAAGAAATTAGGCTTTTAAATTAATCTATGGTAAGAATGACATTTGAAAGTAAAAAAAAAAAAATCCTCTTGAATGCAAGAAGAGCATCCAAAAATTTTAACAGCTTAAAATAAAACCTTTTTCCTGTCTTCTCTCAAGCAATCTCCAAATGGACAGATTTCTGTGAATCTTTCCTAAAAACAATTTTCCTCTAAGTGTAGGCTCAAGTCAGGATAAACTACAATCCAAATATATTTGAGGAAAAGTATAATCAATTTAAACAACAGGTTAGAGCAGAGAAGACTTACACATCTTAATGGCAAAATCAAAATGACTTTCTAAACAGCTGGAGATTAGATTTCTCCTCCCAATTTGTTCTCCTTCCAACTGCATTCAGACACCCTACTGAGCTCAAATTCACTGGCTTCCTTGGGGTCACCAAGGAGCTATATGGCAACATCATACTATTCCTTAAACATATTTCATGTTAATGCCTGATAAAGTACAATAAATGAAGCCCACTGCTTTTTCTATTCTGTGAAATTTTCATTTTGCTGTAACAGATTTCTGGGCTAAGGCCATTCTGTGCAATCCACACCCATAAGGTGTGGCAGAAAGCCAGGCAATGAAGGTCTGCACGCAGAAGCTCCAGGCCCTTCACCACGGGAACGGGCTACCTTCCTGGTAAGTGTGCACATGTCTATGGGCACTGTGCCACACTATCTTACAATTCTTTCTGTAATTACTATTAGGATGGAGACTGCCAGGCAAGAAGGTCCAAGGATATGGCTATTACAATGGTCCACAGAACACAGTCCTTTCTTCTGACTTCTAGGTTTCCCTATGGAAGCTGTAACTTTGACTGTACAAACACATGGGCCATAGAGATTTGGATCACATTACTTCTCTTTTCATTTTCTAGTGACAGCTGGAGTGTGGTCTCAGCCCAACCATAAGTAGAACAAGCTCTCTACACCCCAATCCTGCCCCTGACTCTTTTCTCTTTATCTAGAGACTATTATGATGAAGCAAGTAGGGAATGGAATCTCCCAGACCCATTCACCTCCTGCCCTCTTTGCAGAATTTTACATTTGTTCTGTCAGAAAAATAACAATAGGATAGTTAGAATCTCATTTTCTAATTAATAATATTTATCTTTGTGGACAGAATTTTATCATTGAAATAAAACTTTCTTGGTTTTATATTACTCATTTTAAAGAAGAATATGCCAGTTCTTTGCTTGTTACCAGACATCCTTTATGGAGATCAGTTCAGAAGAGTTGTTGGGTATCTTAAGACTAAAAGGAATATTCTTTTGGATTCTACCCCAAAGTTATTTCATTCTTTTCCATTGTCAACACACATGTTTCTTTCTCTCAAGTAATGGGTTACATTTCAGAAAGAGAAAAAAAATCCCTAAACGTGATTTATCAACTTTCTTAAAATAGAATTTGAAGAAGTGACTCCCAGATTAGTGGGAAGATGGCAAAAATAAACAGCAAAGAAGTGATTTCAATAGTGACGATCTCATTAAGCTGCCCATTTCCAAATTTAGCCCTTAGGCAGTTTTTTTAATTAAAAAATATTTTTAACCTGGATTCTTATTGGCTATGTGAAGTCTGGGTGGCTTCTGAATTCTTGGAAGCCATTCTCTTTTCTTCTGTAAATTTATGCTATCCTTTAACCACTTCAAAATAAAATTATAAACTGGAAAGACAGAAATTCAGCCAAGCTACATGAGACTCCAATAACTAATGCAAATCTGACTTGTGTTATGTAATTTCAAAATGGATGTTTCCTAGTGTCTAACTGGCCTTCTGAGGTCCATATTTGGATGTTCAATTTAGTAATGGTGGAAATGCCATTACTAAAACCAAGAATAATTAGAAAGCAGCAACTCAACTTCTTTTTTCTGAGTTAATGCTATGAAAGAAGATGTGGTCCATATAATTAATCAGCTTTTTGAGGCCAAATGGCTGGTCACCTGGCTTTTTGAATACTGTAGCTTTGAAAATACACAGATGTTGGCCGAATCAAAATGGTGGCACGTTACTTTTGGTTACTTTAGCAGACCAAATGCAAGGGCTTGCTCTAAATGCAAAACAGCCAGAACCCGGGGGAGAAGCACCACTCCAAGCATTGCGGAGACACCATCACCTTAGTGGTGTACTCACAATCAGATGACCCGGTGTGAGCGTGAGAGTTTGTCAGTGAATGTGTTGAGTGGATGAGGGCTGGGTCTGGAGACAAAACAGCTTCAAAGTTCAGGCAGGGAAGGCCCGGCTTGGCGCTGGATCCACCCGGCTGAGTAATCTCATTCTCCTCAGATGCCTTCTGGTTTTCAGCTGTCTTGGGTTTCTTCCTGAAAATAAACAAAGGGCCCTTTGAAGGAACTGACTGCATATTTGGGAAAAGGCATTTTTAGAATCTGTTAAAGATAACTTGATTTTTTTTTTCCTGAGGGGGGATGGGAGGGAGTCCAGTATGTCCCTTGTTTTAAAACAAGCTGATTCTTGTTTTTTTCCCTCCAGTAATGGCCTAACTGGGAACACATGAAAGCATATGGGCCAAGCAAACAGCACCACATTTGGACTCTGTTGGCTGCATAAAAAGACCCTGTCCCAGAACTTTAGACAGCTTGAGCTACGTATGGCTGACATTATCCAAGAAAGCATCCTCCCCCAACCCCCCTTAGGAGTTTTAACATGGTCTGGAAAAATACTAGTGGAGGTTTACCGTTCTAGCATTTGTCAGGAAGCTTAGAGACAGGACCCGTGGAGTAATGGGAGGAGCACTGGACTGGGAGTCAGGAGACTTGAGCTACGGTACTAGCTGTGCCTCTAACTTGCTGTGTGGCCTTGGGCACCTCACTTCACCTCTCTGGGCTTCAGTTTCCTCATCTGTAAAATAAAGGGCTTGGATTAGAGGGCCCTAAAGGTTCCTTCCAGCTTTAAGTTTCTATTTATGGAACGCATTATGGAACATTCAACTTTCTTGCTGTTACTAGATTTTATTTTAAATCAATACATAAGTTTTAAATAATAATCTAAATGTGCAGGCCATACAGATGAGGAGGTAATGATGAAAGTTTTTCTTAGAGTAGCAAGTGAAAAGTGAGAAGCGCATAGGTTCTAGTAAGTAAAGAGGAAAGTTGTCACATAAAGACCCTCTACGCCAACTCGTTTCTCATCCTTTGCTTAAGATTTCCTTTGACTTTTGATTTAGGGCATGATCCTGGGCTTCAGGAGTGTGATTGTGTGTTTTGGATGTGAGGAAGAGGTGGATGAAGGGAATTTGAAAGTAATTGTTACTAATTGTTATTTGGAGTCAAGAACAGGAAGTAAAACAGCTCAGCTATCAGTCAGCTCAGGTCTCCTCTCCCCAGGACAATGCAACTGATATTAAATTTATAAACACTTATACTGTATGTACCCTAGACCTCAGCCAAACTGAATTATTAGTCTCTGTACATTTTTCCAATTTCTTGGGCTTTGGGCCTTTTCTATCATTATGTGGACAGTGATCAGAAAGAGTATTTTATTTTTTGGTAGAAGATTATGTGTGGTACAGAATTTGTTGTAAGTCGATTTGTTTCCATGTTTCCCTTGTTTTCATGAGCATGGCAATGGACTTGTTATACAGACTATTTTGTAGTGAAATTTGCTGCACTGGGTAGTTAATCTGCCCTTGCAGAATATGGTGTTATGATTAGTATGCTGCGTTTTTGGTCTAATAGGTTGTGAAATCAAATCTGTTTCTTCAGAGGGCAGGAGGCAGAAATGGCATGGTAAGATTAGAATAGAGGGGAAGCTTCCCGACATCTTTTCCAGTATGGAGGAAGCCGATATAAGAGAAACAACACATTGCAATGCCTTTTCAATTGTTTGTTGAACGGTGACTATGGCACCGATCCTCAAATCTTGAGCATATATACGGACCCTTTGGAGCTGGTGTTCTGGTTTTCAGTCTGAGGAAGTATCCAAGATCAAAATCTCCAAAACCCAACTCTCCTCTTTTCTGTGAAAACCAATGCCTCCTCTCAGGTCCCTATTTCTATCACTGTTGTCTGCCATCAGGTTGGAAATCTCAGTGTCGTTATAAACCTTCCTCTGACTTCAAGCCAATTCATCAACAAGTTCTGATAATTCTGCTTCCTTCACATTTTTTCACATCTGTGTTTCCTTTCTAATATCACTGCAATCACCTTACCACTTTTTGTCTAATCTAGATAGTGATCTGTTGTTTACTAATTGGCTCCATCCTCCTTGACTCCTCTAGTCCTGATTCTTTGTGTGCACTAAATTTGAGATGACTACATTAGCCTGACACTCAAGTCCGTTCCACACTTGCCCTAGCTTTACTCATGTGTCCTATATATTGGCCATATTAGACTCTCAAATTTCTTGAATTTTCCCAGGACATCCTGAGAATTGACATTCTTAGTTCTACATCTTTGCTCAAATTACTTCTCTTGCTTTGAACATCCCCTTTTTCATTTCTGCCTATTAAAATTACATTTATGATTCATACTTATTAAATGTTATTTCCATCTTGTAACTGTACTGACTTCTCTCTACCAGATAGGACTTCTTTCCCACCCCTGAATTCCTCCCTACTCCTTTCTCTGAAATCCCTAAGCCCTTTTTTACTAATCTTATTTTACTTACTAAGTTTTATTTCAACACCTATAGTCAGGACTCAAGCATTACAAAAGTGATCCACATAACCTAAGACATTTGTAGCCCCTTAATATTTTGAATGAAACAAAAAAAGAAACTACAAGCTCTCTGAGGGTAAGGAAATCTCTTGGTTATTTTTGTATTCCCTGTATTCACCTATTCTTTCCTTCCATCATTCATTTATTCACATATTCATTTTACAAATACTTATTATGTGCCTGTGATGGGCCGGCATGGGGTAGAGGCTAAAACAGGCCTGGTCCCTGCCCTCCCAGAGCTTACTGTTTAGTCTATGCTATTGAACACAGCAACCTAAACAAAGCTGTCATTCAATAACCGTTCACTGGTAGAATGAAATGGAGCTGAAATGAGAGTGCGTTTTGAGAATAGTCACAGTCTGAATACCAATTAAGTTTCCTATTCTTTATGTACCAGTGAAATCTACCTTGAATGGCTGTTTTTCCTTTGGATCCATGAAGGGTATTTAATAAGAGCAGGGCCGTTTTGCTCAGCAAGGTTATGTTGGCCCTCATGATTCATTAAAAATGAATCAGGGACAACACACTGACGACATATATCACTTAGCAGAAAAAAAATGTTTATTTCTGATGGCCACAGACAAGGACTTGGCTAGTTACAGGTATGCTTCAGAAAATTAAGGAAGCTTTCTTTTAAACCTGAGTATATGGCCAAATCACCAACATTACTCTTATTTCTAGTTGTAACAATCGTGTTGTTCTTCATATCAATGCCTTTGCTTCCTTCCCTAGGTTTGATCCTGCTTCCTACCTGACTTCCTACCACGCCCTCCTGTTTGTTGTCTCAAGGATCACTTTGGGAGAACATTCATAGCATAGAAGCACTAGAGCTACCTCTACACACAGGAAATATTAAAAACTCAAACTTTTGCCTCACTCTCTCATTTGCCCAATATCACTTTGCCTACCCTTATGGCACAGATAACGGAGAACCACTCAGTGTTCTTAGAGGCAATTCGTTTCCTATTTTACCTTTACTAATAGTTCTTTTGGACTTGGTTTTCTGGATCTGAGAAACACTATAACACTAAAACAAAAACCAGTCTATGTCTAGACATGCACAGGTGCTGTTATTTGACCTCATTTTTGCAGCTCATAGTTTATTAAGGAGGAAAGAGTAAGCACTGTCATAATTAATTGAAAATACATTCTTTGGTTGTATAAAGAGAATTATATAAACAAGGCACATCTGAGGGCAAGTCTTTCCAAGCCTCTGTGGCTCTGCATTATTCCCTGGAGCCTTTAGAGGGCAGCAGCACACTGGCTGACTCCAGGCAGATTTTGAAGAGGCGAACTCGGACCAGAACCTTCCTCCTGGTCACCATGCCAAAGGTTGATTTGCCAAGCTCTGGCCTCTCAGGCTCTTTCTTTCTTTTTGGTTCTCTCTCTCTCTCTCTCTCTCTCTCTCTCTCTCTCTCTCTCTCTCCCCTCTCTTTCTCTCTCTCTGTTAAAATTATACACTCTGATGAAGTCGCCCCTCAACCGGAAAATGAAAGCTCCAATGAAAAAGTTAGACAAGCCAACAACAACAGAGAAAGAAACCAGGGAAAAGGGGAAAAGGGGCTGGTGAGGGGGAAGGACTTAAGAACAAGAAAAGGGCAGATGTTTCGTAAATATATGCAAAGCAAAACTGGGTGTACCCTGAACACTTCCACAGAGAAACAGACCAATCATTGTGTACTTCCTCCCGCCACACTGGTGGAGCTCTGCATTCAAAAAGAAAAAAAAAGTGTGGCTGCAGGCACCCGCCTTTCAACGGTCAGTCCCGACATTCTGACTGAACATCTCCCAATTGTCCAAAGAGAACAAAAACATTTTCATCTCCCCACTGCAAACATTTCTGTTACGAGAAAAAGGCTGCTTCAAGAACTGAGAGGGCGTTTTAAGGTGACTGGCGGCCGAGTTAGCCAGCAGAACCTTCTGGTTTTTAACTCTCTTTGTGCTGGCCCTGGCAACAAGTTTTGGGCTGAAACATAGCAGTGAGTAAGACTGTGGAGGATGTTGGCTCCTTCTTAACTAGACCATATTGTATGTGGAAAGAAATATGCATTAAAACATATTGATGAGATGGTAGGTATTAAGCATGTTAAATGCATGGAAATTAACCAGATCGGCGGCATTTGATGTATATATTTCACACTCCTTTGCACATATTGCACACATACAGTGATGGCAATGCTTTCTGCAACATATGGAAAAATAAATATTTTATCTGTGTGAGCTCTTAGCAGTCTCCAGGGTCTGTTGAAAGAAGAGTGTTCTCTTCTAACTCCCTCTCCCAATTTTCTCCCTTCACTGGGCTCCCACCCTCCCCTGCACGTTAACATGCTTTCCACTTATCAGCCTGGTTGGACAGGAATCAGTTGAACCTCTTTTTGATAAATAATTACTCAGCCATTGGCTCATGATAATTTAGACTAGTCATGCTGCCTCCAATCTATTTGGAGTGGTAACCACTACCCTATTCCTCACCAGCCCTCCCACCCCACACACCTGCAAATAACACATGGAAAAGGCTTAGTAGAGTATCTGGGCAGGGGATAAAGGGAAGGTGGTAACAAACCACCCGGATAATGGGTGGCAGCAGTACTGAGCTCTACTACCTAGTAGCTGTATGCCCTACCTAGGTAGGCAGATTATTATGCATCTCTGGGCCTCATTTTCCTCATCTATAAAGTGGGAATAATGATACCTACTTCTTAAGGTTGTTGTGAGGAATAAATGAGATAAGCCATGTAAAGTGATTAGCATAGTGCTGGCACATAGTAAAGGGCTTAATAATGGTAGCTCCTTTCATTGAAAGCGTTAGTTCTGTGGCTCTCATCATATTAGCTATAAGAAGACATTTCCTTCATTTTAGTAATTTTTTTTAATGTCCTAATTTGGGGCAGGGATTATTATTGTAGCAAAGGCAGAAAGAGTGTTAGGATAAGCAATCTCTTCTTCAACACTTAGATCTCTCTGTATTGCTCTCCTGACACCTTCTTTCTGTTCACATTTGTCATTGCTGTGTCTATTCCAAGAGCTCCTTGAAGATAAGGATCAAGCCAGCTGCACCTGGCCTATAGAAGCCCATCAAGCCTGAGCACTATGGTCTACACTGAAACCAACACATGGCACTCTTGCTTATTATTCTTTTTTTTACATGATTTATCCTTTCACTACTAGATACAGTGCTACCAC